TTCATGCTAGGAAAGAAAGGTATCTGTCATGGTTTGAGATAGCCCCAAAATCCAATTCCCTAGCTCCATTCCCCCTCCCACATCTCAACCTAATGTGAGATGGGTTTTTTCCAGACAAAACACACCAGACTCAAAGTGGGGGAAAGGGAATATATTACAATGACTGTACAAATAAATACCATATCACATTATACACACGATCACAACTATCTCTACCATGACATATAGTATTTACAATGGATCAGATCTCTTCTCCCCTCCAAATAAAAGTCCAGGAGGGAAAGAAGGACAGATCCCTTCCAGTCTTTAAACAGCAGGATCTTCTAATGCAGCAGGTTTCTCCTCATCTCATGCATGCAGCAGCTGATAGCTGGCTTTCTGCCAGCGTCCACGAGGGAGGTATCCAAGCCTCTCTCTCGGCCCCATTGCCTCACAACCGAGGGGTCTTCCGTGGGCTTCGTAACCCCAGACAAGGTCGTTTCACCACGTCATATCACGAAGACACAGGGGGGTCTTCGTGACGGTCTGGTATCTCTTGCAGGGCCTCTGTGCCCTGTTTCTCAGGCTGCCACCGTGGCAGCAGTGCAAGGGGGGAGCCAAGGTCGCCCCCCACCCTGCATTCCATCTGGCCGTCCCGGTCCAGCTCCAGGACGCTCTGAGCTTCTCAGCTCCTCTCTCTCTCCGGTGCTGCATGTCCAAAACTGCTCTCCAAAATAGGAGTCCATGTCCCTCTTCTCCAAGAGGGGTCTCAAGGGAGTTCTGGGGGAGTGTGGTACAGTCTTACCCCCAGAAGTCTGTCTCTTGGCTCTCCTTTCCTCGGCTCTCCTTCCAGGAGTCTTCTCTGCGGTGCTGCATGTTGCTTCTGCTGCTCCTCCAGTTCAGGTCTTTATCTATCCTGGCTCTCTGCCACCGTTTCTCTGGTCAGTGTTGGCTGCTGCTCTGTGCCCATGGAGAAAACATCTCCCGGCATAACTACAGACACTTAGTCCAGTCTAAGACTGTTCCAAGTCTCTGCAATCCCCCCCCCCCCCAGCCAGGGGCTGGGAGGGCCCAGAGGCCCCGAGGGGCTCAGAGCCCCTTCCTCGTGGCTCTACAACATGGCCACCTCTCCTACAACAACCAAACTACAACTCATCTCTTCCGGTGAGCTTGTGGATATGTTTACATTTTTGCAGGAGCGCCCATTGGGCAGAACTTCAAAACTTCCAGGGGTTTCCACCCCTTGGGGTCTACCACTTCTCTTAGCCTCTGGGGGAAAACAAGATTCAAACCACAACAGTATCAAAATATTGTGCACCAGAGAAAGGAGACAACAGAAGATGGGGCGTCAATTTACCACCTTAAAAGAGCTTGTTGGACCTTTTTCTTGGGTACTGTGAACAGGTTTGGTTTAGGCAACTCAAGACAGTTGAAAAGGAGTAGAGTGGACTTATAGAAGGTGAAGAGAAGAGCAGCAAAGAAGGGGATGGAAGCATCACTTTCCAAGAGAAAAAAAACAAACCCTGATATTCTAAAATTTGGCGAGAAGAATGAAGAATCATGATTCACTAAAACTCAAAATACCAGAACTTATTGCTCTTGCTGAAACTTGTGAGACACCAGTTCGGAACAAACCAAGGAAAGAAGTTTTTCTTCCCAGTGGATAGCAAGCTTCCACAATTTATTGCCACAGGAGGCTGTGGAGAGATCAGCAGGTTTATTAATAACAAATCCATGAATGGATGACAAAGGGATTAGGCAGAGTCATACCTATTAGAATCTTGCATCCAACCCTTACAGATGCTGGGGGAGTTAGGAGATGGAGGAAGAAATGTGGCCAAACAGGCTCCTCCAAATTAGTATCTCCTTCCAGTACTTTTTAATTAATTATTTCTTGTGTTCACATGTCTAACAGCACAATACTGAAGCTAAACCATAGAACACAGCAAAACCTCTAGCAAACTCTATGTCTTTATTTTTTTTTCCCCTGAATGACTGCTCGATGATAAATGGAACATCTGAAATAAATGAAGGGAAAAGATGGCAAGTGACATAAACGTGAAAGATAACTGGAGGATTTTTAAATGAAATGTGATCTATTAGCAACACATACTAGAAAAAGGAGAAGAGTCAGATGACAACCTGGAAAAATGACAGTAACTTGGTTGCTTACAAGTTGCAACTAATACCATTCTAGATGTTCTAGACTACCTCACATGCTTCTGCTGGGCTGGCAGATACAGCCATGTGAATATCTGTTCCATCCTAGAATGACAGATGAAGAGTATAAGAAATGTATGCCCTACAGGTATTTAAAATGAAACAAGAATCATGTGTTTAGATACATCAATCAGTTCTCTTTCATCTTTAATAGAACACTAACAATAAATCTACAGTGCAAAAATTTGAAATATTGATATCCCCTGTAAAGATAAAGTATGTGAGTGATGTATTTTTAAACAGAGAGAATGCAAAGAAATATGGAAGCTTTAGTGACCCTAATACAAAGTAACTGTGGTGGTGCTTGTAAAGCCATTCCCTCTAAAGTTGTACATGGTTACAAATTCCTGCAAAGTGCTTTTTAGTAATACTTTGAAGCCCTCTGGTAATTTGTTTTACTCTGTACATGGTAATAAGGAAAACCATTCTGAAAGTTGAGGAATGTTTTGTAGTTGCTATATGAACTTTGCTATCATATTATTTTATCTGTTTGTGGCAATACATTAGGTCTAATATAAACTCTAAGAGCATAGAGGTAAAGAATATATGAACACAAGAAATGCAACAGAAACTATAGGGAAAATATCAATGGTAGAAATTCCAATCAAGCTTTCTAACTTCCTGGTTTTGAACAAACTAGCAACTTCATTCAGAATATTTGGAAGTTAAATGAAAATTTTTAAGTCAAGTCTAGCAGAAGAGAAATACCAACTATTAATTGAAAAACAATCCAGTTTGGAAGACTTTACTATCTGTGTACAGAACTACATGTTCAAAAAGTAGTATCACAGGACTGAAAGTTTCAAGTCAGTTTAGGGAACGCTTTGTGGATTAATTTTTTTATTGAAAAAAGTATTGTAATCAGCTTACATGTTTTGTTTTTAGTTAATTCTGCATAATTTAAAATTTTAAGGCAGAGTTAAGAAAGCAAAAGGGATTGACTATAGACTTCACAGTTTTGAAGGAAGTCCAGAAAAAGCATTTCTTGTACTTCAATGAAGTGGACTTAAACAAGCCTAAGAACTTGTACAGAAAGTAATCTAAAGGAAAAAGTGTAAAATAACTGTTATTTCTTAAAAAACAACATTAAACACTTTGAGGTAAACTACCCACATACAAAGTGAAAGTGAGCTTAGGAGGTCAGAAAACAATGTAGTTGAATGAAAAATTGTTTGATAATCTGAAAACCAAAAGGTAATCATGGAAAAAGTAAAAACAGTGACATAACAAAATGCTCTGTGAAAGAAAAATAAAAGTATACAGGGTGCAAATTCAGAAACCAAAGGAGTTAAAACTAGCAAAGGATATTAACAGCAATAAGATGTTCTCTAAGCACAGTACAATTTTAAGAGATATTAAGGGAAATAGGGAGGTGTTCCTATATGAGGTGAGTTACTGAGTGAAACAGAAGACATTTAAATGTTCGAAGGCTTTTCAACTTCAGCTCTAACAAAAAACAACATCATGAGCCAATACTCCAAAATTTACAAGTAAAAGCAAGGGCATAAGTGAACACTGCAAATGGTAGCAAGAAAAGACTAATCTTGGCAATGTGCCTATGAAATTCTATCTTTGCCTCAACAGGAAGAAATCCACTTAACACAATAACATAATTTCACAGAGTCAAAAGAAATACCGTTCATTTATATTCTTCCTTTCTTCCAAAGTGTCTACGGAACTTAAATTCAGAGGATTTTGGTGCCATTAAGTTATCTTATGTCACATGCCCTCTCTTTCACTGAGAATAGAGACAATTAATGAGAATTACTTTGTCAACACCTGCTTGGAGCCTCAGTTACTATCAGAACACTTTTTGAAAAAAAAGCCAGGGGCTTGGAAAACTGAAACAGAAATTAGGGATCACAGGTACTTGACTAAGGCTATAAGAATTCAATGGACTGAACTTATTGCTGTGATCATCAGACTATGAAATGCTTCCTCCTGAAGCAAAGGGATTCATGAGCAAGAAAAAAACCTCTAATCTTGTGATTCTGATGCTACAGAGCATGCTTGGGTAACTAAGATTAATCTGGGGAACTTTCAGATTGGGAGTCCAGTGCTGGGTTGAGTCTTTTGGTAATGAATACACTTCATGACTGCAAATGTTCTGTAGAAAAAATTTAATTTAGAATTAACAATATAAGAACAATTATCTGAAATTTGTACTTAAAGGTAGGGTTCAAGGAAGAAAGAAAGCAGCATTGAATGAAGATCAAGTCATGGGGACCTGACAGACTTGCAAGACCACTCTCCATCATCTTTGAAAAACTATGGAGATTGAAAGATATTTCTTACAAATAGAACAAAGTAGATGTCATAGTCAACTTCGAAAGAGGCAAAAAGGTCAGTCTGGACCACAGGCTAATCAGTTGTACTTTCATCCCTGGAAAAATCACAATGAGTATCCTGGAAGCCAAGGAAGTGGAAGTGACACGGAACAGAAAACATGGATTTACTAAAGGTATATTGTGCCTGACCAACTTGATTGCATTCTATGATAAAATAGATATGTAAGTGAGGAGAGAGGAGAGCATATCCAATATCTTGACTTAACAATGTTTCCAATACATTATCCTGCAATATTACTATGGACAAATTGGGATATTATAGTGCATGAGTGAGCAGCTAGATGAGCAAAAATGTATTTTGATGGTTGGACCCAGATGGTAATGGGTTGTACCCTACCAAGATGCTTCTTACAAGAGTCTGTGAGAGACTGAAATGTTTTTTGGCTTAAACATTGTTAAGATCTGTCAGGTAAAACATGCGCAGATATCTTCCCAAGAATGCCAAGGCAGTGGAAGGATTAAAACAAGGTTTATTTCAGATGCAAGGACCACTTAACAATGCTGCACACACTGGGCCCCAGGGAAAAAAGGCAATGCCCCGCCTTCTCCAAGGCTTTTTGTCTTCTCTCTCCCCCCCGCCCTCTGGCCGAAGGAGGTCTTGTACATGTCTGCAAACATGTTGTCTCTCTGTATACCAGGGAGAGAGAGAGGTTGCTCACATCTTCTCCCTGCAACCTTCTCTGAAATGCAAAACAAAGAAAAAAAACATGTAACTCGTTTGAGAAAGTGTTTTACAGTTTTCCTAAGTGAAATCGAGTTCTGGCTTTCTGTCACAAATTCTTCTGGAATTGTCCCTATCTCCACAAGATCACTGACTTTTGTCCACTGTAGCAAACTGTGCAAAGAAGCAACTGCTCAACAAAGCCCACCCCTCCCTGAGGATGCCTACTAATTTGGACTGTGATGTGAAGTGGAGGTAAGATGAAGGTGGTACTATTGTCCAGTTATCCCAGAAGAATGTATCCACGGGTTCCTCGAGGAAGCGGTCACAGCACCAAGCCTGTCAGAGTTCAGGAAGCATTTGGACAATGCTTTCAGGCAGATGTGATTCTTGGGGCTATCCTATGCAGGGCCAGGAATTGGACTTCGATGATCATTGTGGATCTCTTCCAACTCAGGATTTTCTATGATTCTATGATATTCATAACTGCAAAATATAATTGTAGGCATCTCTCACTGTGTATGTTTATGAATAAGTTTAAATATTTTTACCTTGGTTCTCAAGGATTTAGAAAAGAATTTTGAAATAGAATTTAATTTAAAATTAAGAATACTGTTTGCTGCTGTAACTAAGAAACCACATGATTCATAAACTGCTACTGAGATGCTATAGAAATATTTTTTTCCTGGAGCAATAACAATTAAATTCTCTTCAAAAGGTCCTGTGGTCTCTTCTGTGACTAAGAGGCATATGAATTAAAATTAAAGCTTTTCTGACAGATATTTGTCTAAGCTGTTCTTTAAATTCCTCTCTTTGACAGTCTCCTTCAACCATTTATTCAGATATTGTATTAAAGTGTTTTCCTTTAGGTGAACCTAGGTCTCCTTTGCTTCAATTTAAGAGTACTGCTTCTTTTCCTATCTCAAATCCTATGAGATGGTTTTGACCAAAACACTTCTATATTCATAACACTCTAAAAAGTAGAATTAAGACCTCATATAGAATGTAATGTACTGTCTTGGTTACCCACATTAATGAACTTAAATTGAAACAGGTTCAGACATGTCAAAATAATTACAGTAACGAAAATCCAAGCTTATGAAAAGAGGTTAAAGGACTTGACTTGTTCATATAAGGAGTCATTTAATTTTGATAAGCTAAATATTTGGGGCTTTGGAAGAAGTGAGAAAGAACTAATTAAATTGGAAGATAATGCTGGTGAAAAGCAAACAGCTATAAATTGATTATGAATATAATTCCAGACAGAATAAGAAAAAACATTTACAATCATGAAGTAAATTTTCAGATAAGCCTACATGCAGGACTATGGGGACAATTAACTTAATTGCTCTAAGATAGTATTTGATAAAATATTATCTGGGCTACATCAAAAGAAGGGTAAGTTTATGTTAGATATTAAGAAGAAATTCTTCATTGTGAGGTTGGTGAGGCACTGGAACTAGTTACCCAGAGAAACTGCAGAAGCCCAATCCCTGGAAGTGTTCAAGTCCAGGTTGAATAGGGCTTTGGGCAACCTGGTCTAATGGAAAGTGTTCCTGCTAATTGCAGGGGGTTGGACTAGATGACCTTTAAGGTCCCTTCCAACCCATAATACCCTATAATTCTATGAAGACTTATGAAAGAAATTCTGATGATCCAAGATTATAAATTTCACATAAGCATCTTTTGATATCAAACCTGAATATAGTCACAAGAAATAATTTTATGAGTGACTGCAAAAGTTTTGTCTCAATCATTTTGTGTAAATTCCTTGTTTCAAGAATCCCATAGAAAACAGACTGAAGATTTTTTTGCAGATTCATTTCTGGGGTACTTTTTCCCTTAATGATCTAGTGTATAAATGCAACGTTGCTGACAGGGAGCTGATTCTCCAAAGGTTCTCCATTTGCTTGCAGTATCTCTGGTGTATAACTAAAATCCCAAATATGAATTCAAATCAAGAAAAATCCTTTCCTACCCCAAGAACAACTACAAGACTATTTAAAGAATTATTGAGATCTTATGTAATTGATGTTCATAATTGGTTTGCTGCAGTTTCTGTCTTACCTGAATAATACAGGAGATTATCACAAGACCACTTACATATTTGTATGAATTGATTTCTTGTTAACAAAAAAAATAGGATGACAACAGTGGTCTTGATTTCTCCTGTTCTATACTGTGCATTGATGATGTTGCTTGCAATGTATGTCTTAAATTTCTTATGGGCTGTAGGAAAACATTTCAAGCTTCGTGGTTTGTAAGATTTGTTTAATGTTCCTTCTGTACTAATGTTTTTTCTTTCCTCATTTCCTGTGGCTATGAGCATTTAGATGGGTGAAAGGAGAGGGTAAAGTAGATGAAATTTTAATTCCCTCATCTTAATGTTTTTAAATCTCATTTTTACATAATTTCAGATCCTCAAAAAACTGTCTAGTTCATCTAGACCAATTTAGTCACTTTCAAAAAAAATCTTCCATGTCACTGCTGACTCAATAAGGATGTGTGACATTCTTCAATAGCTGAAATTGCCTGCTTTAAGGAAATTAGATGTGTTGTTAATATGTAATGACTTTATTCTCAGTATCAGAATGCTAGTGATTAATCAGAAGAAAAAATTATGAATATATTTGTCTGGCTCAAGGGTTAAATACAAATAAAACTAAACTTCTAGCAGTACATTTTCAATAACTGCAGTATCACTTAGCAAGTCCGGGTTTTTTTATGGATGTTGTTTTAACAACACCCAATTGTTAATGATAGGGAATCCTCTGACACCTATTACCAAACAACAACAACAACAAAAATTCATATTTTTGTCAGAGATTTTAAAATTCATATTTGAAATCTCTGTTTTGAAGATATACTTGCCTGGTGAGATTTAGTATACTGAAAGGGGCTAGATTTGTTTGCTTGTTTTTAAGTCCAGTTGAGAACAAAACTGAAATATTCTTTTAAGCTTCACAGAAAGTTTGTTTAATATGTAAGTGCTTAGAAATTAGCATTTTGGATTTTACAATCACAGCTTTGTACTGATAAAATTTTTAACATTATTCATTTAGAACACCTAGTGAGTTAATTTTAAAGGCAGAAATTTTAAAGGCTAAGCAGAAAACATAAAGACTTCAGTTCTACTATTTAACTAGAAAACAGCTCACAACATAATGTCACATATAAGCCCACACTATTTCAAAATATGTCATCAAAAATTGATATTTTACCACTGTAATTTTTTTTTACCAAGAGCTGTGAATAACATCATGTAGAGACGAATCTTCAATGATGACCTGATAAAATGGCTGGTACCTACCAGTTCCTTCAATTGCTTTTAGTTAGCTGTGAATGGGACTGCAGTTGCCCAGGATTTTTTAAATTTTTTTTCTCCATCAGAAAGAAACTGTATCTCATGCCCTGTGGATTAACATACCGAATGTTTCACAGTTCAATTGAAAGGAATACTTTTGAGATCTAGTATTAATGCCTGCTTCCTTTGTATTTGATAACAAACACCATTAAATGCTTATGCTATCAAAATTACTTTGAGTCTTTTAAAACTTTACTGCCACATATCTGAAGTAATTCTGTAGCCTTCAATATCATCTTTTCTATCCTGCTATTACAAATCTAGATACAGATTTATGTTCTTATCACTCCCATGGAATTCCTTATTCACGCACATTCAGAAAGAAATGTTCAATTATATCATTGCAGATATTAATGTAGATCTCTACTGGGTTCTTTTTAGACATTAGTATTGTATTTAATTCCTTTTTATTCACTATGTAGGATGCCAAAATGTGCAGGCACGTCTACAGGACTTTTTGTCCTATAACTCATTACAAGGAATTAAATAGATTCAAATTCTGAAGAAACAGATTCATAGCTAAGGTAACACTATCCAAGGAGCCTCATAGTCCCTACCCACTTCCTACACACGAATCATGAGAAACTTATAGTAAGTGTAAAGAATAAAATATTTAAATGACACCAGCCTCCACATCCTCTTTTCATCCAGGAATGACAACATTCAAGCTTGGGGGAGGTGGTTCCCTTGTACAAATGAAAGAGAGGAACCAGACATATCTGACTTTCTTTTTCATAGTTCTTTAAAATAATTTAATAATTTTTGTCTTATAACAAAATAGTTCTGTCCCTCAGACAACATCTGTGATCTTGACATATGTCCATTAATACTGCATATTGCAAAGCATGAACTCATAGTAGTCACCAAGGAGTCCTAAATTTGGTAGAACGGTTCAGGGAATAGGAGTATGAGAGCAGAGTGAAAAGGAAAAAAAAAAATTTCTTTGGAAAGTCACAGAAGCCAAAAGAGAAGTGACGGAAAATAGCAGATTTTTTTTTTTTTTTAATCAGAAGTCATAAAATTATAGAATGGCTGGAAGGAACCTTAAATATTATCTAGTTCCAACCCCCCTTGCCACGGGCAGAGATGCCAAATATTGGTACTAAAATAGTTATTTCTGTTCTGCTGCAAAATAAACCTGTCCCTTAATGAAGGACCATTTAGTTCTGCATCACTCAGAGAAAACACATTTCTACCACAGGTTAATTTTTGCAATTGACTGACTTTAGATTAATCAGAGGTTTATACCAAGATAATATATTACCAGAGCATAACTGAGAACAGTGATATTACAGGCACGTTACAATAAAACCAAACATAAATTAATTAATCTCATAACAGTAGAGAGATAACAATTTTAATATATTAACACATTAATATTATATCCTTTAATATGAAGGGAAGATGTAATAGTTGATGACCTCTTGGACACAGATGACTGAAACTTAAAGAGAAAAAAATAAATATCGTAACTTTCAAGGTGTCATTAAGAATTATGTTTCAAGGTACAGTTAACTAATCAATGTATCTATAACAGCTACTAGAAGAGCACCGAATATGAGAGACCACTTATCTGAAAGTAATAGACCATCCTCAGGATGGTACAGTCAGAGGACAGATTATTAGGCATTATGAAAAATTAATTTCTAATTGTTAGTCTTTCCATCAAGGCAAGTTGTGTATTTTCTATCTACAGGAAGTAAGAAAAGTATATCTAAATTTCAAAGAATTACAGAATCAACTAGGTTGGAAAAGACCTATGAGATCATCAAGTCCAACCTAAAGTAATCGAATCCCACCTATTTGTTAATAGGTTGAATAGGTCTGACTAAACTACTTTTAGGGTAGCACAGGAAAAGAAAACAAGTCAAAATGTACCTCACTTCAACAAAAATAAACCATGTCAAAAGCAGGACCTGGGTTTACAGAATTATGACAGTGTTTCCCCCATGAAAACTTGTAGTCTTCCATGACATAGTATGGTACCAACAATCTCTGGAACCAAAAACGTAATTATACTTTATCTTTCATTTCTCCTGTTTCAGAATCTTATTACCAGAGTTTACAGAAATGTTTGTGTTGTAAAAATTACATGTGCTACTGTAGAAAAAATTTTAATTGCAGAAAAGTTTTTTCAGCAATGTGAAAGCTGTGATACAAACACAGGCATAAATAGTATATGGACCAGAGAAAAAAAATAATATTTTCCTTATGTCTCTGACTTGTTTACTGATATTAGTATAACATCAGTGTTTCCTACAGTTTTCAAGTTCTTCCATTTCAAATCTCCCCAAAGTCTTTGTTTCACAAACAAACTGTGCCTAACTTCTTTGAATAAGGTCATCACTTAGCAAAATTTGGATGATAAAATCAGATACCACTTGCCGCAGTCCGAAGAGGGGATGGGGCCGTGGCACAGCACGGGTCCGGGACACAAACTAGGGTGCAGGTAAAATCCTCTATTCCAACACGCACGCAGCTTTTTATCACTTCAGGAGGGGAAAGGGCCAGAAGATGGGGCGGAGCATGAGACAGACAAGCGGGGGGACAAACCAGGATAGGGACACCGGCAAAAGGGGGAGGAGGACAGGAGGGACCAGGGAAGGAAAGGGCGAATGGGAGCTGTCTCCTCTCTGCAGCTTCTCCGGCCAATCAGCAGAGAAACAGGGGAGCAGGGGAGTGAATAAGCCGGGACATGCCTAGGAGATACAAATTCTGGGGAAATATACAATGTGTATATACATAATGACTGTAAAGTCTGCATCATAAAGTCTGTTCAATCACTGTACGTATTTTTCCACTTCTGAAATCGTTCCCATTCTAATTCTTGGTCCTCAACATCTACCCCTCCGTTGTTTGAATCATGCACGGCTAAAAAGATATTTTTTGTGATAGTCTTCTTGCAGCATGCTGCGACACAGGAGATGGTTAATAACAACACAAACAGAAGAAGCAAAATTTCAAAACAGGTTAACAGGATTTGCTTAAGCCAATTAGGTAGACTGGGTAAACTTAGCTTGTCAAATAAGTAATCGGTGGAGAACTTTGGTGACATTCATATGTCACTGACCAGATCTTGTAAGTCTTTGATGCTTTTGAACACAGATTGGGAGTGGTCAGAGAAATTGAGACAGCACATGCCTTCCAACTCCTGACACCCATGGCCATGCATTAAAAGGAGAAAGTCTGTTGTGGCCCTGTTTTGGAGGGATACCTCTTTCAATTTTAGGGTGTCTTTAACCAGGCCCTCCAGGGCAACGCTGGTGGCATTAGCCTCTTTAGCCATCCAGCATCCCAGGCATGTTAGGAGGCCAAGTGCATCTGCTGTCCCAACCCCTGGGAACACCGCAAAGGCGCTCCAAAAATTCATGGTTTTTGACCATAAGGGTATACGAGGGTCGCAGTTTTCTGGGATTGGCTGAACAATACTACTCACTGATTTATAAGGGGAGGATCTTTTAGATCAAATTGGTGCTGATGGAATTTGGCTTGAGAAAAGGAATTTGCCGGGGTTAAAGACAGAGAATGGCACTATAGTACAGGGGCCTCCTACCAGGTAAGAGGGGACACCTGCCCAGGCTCTCTCACCACAGATTAAAAACTTTCCCTCTGGCAACACCATTGGTTTTATGCCAACAACCTCAGCGATTATTTTCTCGGGCACGGTGTTGTTGCACCAGAGGGAGATGTTTTGATAAATTTCTTTATAGGGAGTCACTTTGTGGCTATGAACTTTGACAGTGGTGTTTGGTGTAAAGAGAAAACAACGATTTGTAACTATTGATCCCATAATTTCAATTTCCATGGGCTCCTCAGTCCCATATAAGGGAGATTCAAAATGTACCTTTGAACCTTCATTTGTGGGTATTCCAATTAGACACGTTTGAAACAGGTTATTAATGTTCAACAGGGACAGGCAGATGGCCTCATTTCCTGTCTCCTGAGCTAATTTTACCCAGATGTTCTCTGAATTGGTATAAGCCCAGTTTGGAAGCACAGCTGCAGTTCCCGATGTTTGCTTGGTTCCTATGTCGAGGAGGATGACGAGGAGGCAGGCACAGGTGTAACGCATGGTGGATCCTGGTAGATCTTGACTCTCTTTGCTGGGACCCACTTCGAGCCGGTCTCAGTGGAAACACAGGCATGTCCTTTCCCCCACGTGATGAGAGGGAAAGGACCCGTCCATTTGTCAGTTAAAATACCTTTATATAACACTTTGACCTTCCTTGTATCCTGGTTTGATGCTGAATGGAAGTGCCTTTCAATGGGACTTCTACTCACGGGCATGTCAGGTTCATTCAATTTATTTAAAAGATTTAAAACATACGTGACTTTGTCCAATCTTTCTTGGGGAGTCATACCTATACTCCCCCTGTTTTGTTTTCTGATTAAATTTTTGATGTTTTGATGAGCTCTTTCCACAATACCTTGTCCCGTAGGGTTATGTGATAAGGTGGATACTTCAGGTATTAAAGAATGCCTCAGTTTCTTTTGATACATATGAGGGGGCATTGTCAGTTTTGGCCTGTTTTGGGACCTCCATTCTTGCAAATGTGGATAGAAAATGCCTCTTGACATCTCGATTTTTCTCACCTGAATGCGCTGTTGCCACTATCATTTTGGAAAAAGTGTCAATCGACACTTGCACGTATTTTAATGTTCCAAATTCTGGTACATGTGTCACGTCTGACTGCCAAATTTCCAGTGGCTCCAGCCCTCTGGGATTAATCCCCTCAGGTTTAAGCGGGGCCACTGCCTGGCAGTCGGGACAGGGCCTCAGGATTTCTTTTGCCTGATTTAATTTTAATCCGAATTGTTTTTGGAGCAATCAGGCTTAATGAAATTATCAGAGGACAGGACCATGGAATCTGTGAGTTTAGGGTCAATCACTATGGCTGAGCCCTTGCAGTTTCTTGCTGTACTTACAAGAGGGCTGTTAGACTAACCCAAATATCTTACAGAATTACATCCAATCTCTTTCAGAGAGACAGCTGCTCTCAGATCTACTTTTTGTCTCTCCTCATCTTTAGCTTTAGACTCCTCAATCCCCAGCAGGAGGTTTCCAATGTTTTGACTGTCAATGAATGAAAAAATTATTTTAATAAGTGTGTGCCTATATGTATGTACATCCCTTTGTTCCACTGTGGAAAACTAACATTTTTCCCCTTAACGTACAAAGTTCATGTGTCATTTTCTCAAATTCCTCCCACTGGTTAAACACACAATAGCCATGCTAATTTGAATTTAATTTGAAAATTTTTACAGAAATAATACAAGGCATATGTGAGCAAAAAATTAATAATGTTATGCAAAACCTGTTTTTTTAAGCTATTTGATGA